CTGCTAGAATTGTGGAAGTTCAGTTTCATGTGGAAAATGAAGACAACCTTGCTTTGTTGCATTCATTGTACATTTTTAATCCTTATGAAGATCCTGTTTATATGCCAGCAATTTTTGAGGGATAGACGAATCATTGTTTGGTGATTTGGTAAAATTTTGGACTTTGGTTTCAAAACTATATATATATATATATATATTCAATAAAATTTTGGACTTTGGTTTCAAAACTATATATATATATATATATATTCAATAAATAGTAATATTGTTAAAAATACATAATTTCTCTACCACGAGACCCATCAAAAATACCACTATAATTTTTAGTGGAGTTTTTTGGTCCTTTCTTCTTTCCATCAGTGTTGAAACCTTGATTTAGGATTTGAAATTGACCTAAAGCAACTATAATACAAAGGTATACCAGTAATTTTTTTAGTAAACTTTTGTTAGGGAGCAACTTTACTCAATAGTTTTAAGGTTTTGGATCATAAGATAAGCATCCAATTTGTTACCGTTGGTACCAAAGGAAAATCCAGTTCTTGATTTGCATAACTCGGGTCATGTGTTTTACACTTTAAATTGACAATTTTTTTTGTTTAGCTTTAAACCATCACATTTTATATAGATAATTTTTTTTTTATGTCTCTAATTATCTCAATTGACTCAAATTTCTTTAATCATCTAATGCCCCTGAGTACAAAAATAATAATAATAATAAATATAAATAAAAACCAAAACAAAACCAAATATTTTTAAAGATCCTTCAAATCTCTGAAGGTTTTTATATATATAATTCGAGTACCCTGTATCTTTCTGTATGTTTGTAATTTTGTATACTGTCAACTTACCCGTGAAGGACACACACACACACATACATGCTTGTGTGTGTCAGTCACAATTTTTGTTTTTATTTTTATTATTATTTTTTTTTTTGGAGGAGAGTTGGGAGATACTTAAAATCAAGTTAGGGGAGTTTCTGTTTGATATAATGTGTCACTTTCTCTACTAAAAGAATGCATTTCTTCAACTACATATTATCTATAAAATATATACACACACACAGACATATATATATATATACACATATATATTTAGAAACTAAAGTTAAATTTTGTATCATCTCAATTGATTGACATCATGTGAAGCAATTTAATTTTTATAATCTTGATTAATCACTAAAAAAACAACTTTGAACACTTTATTAATTTCTTTCTAGGGTGAACATAAACTAATATTTTCCTTTCTATAAACTGTTCTCAGATGGCTCGTGGATTATACTGATTAACTAAAATTGGAAATTTGAGTAGACTTTTAACTCATAAAAATTTGATCGTCCACCAAGTTTTCAAACTGAGCACATGTAATTCTTTTTTTCCCCATGCACCGAACAATTATAAAAAAAAAAATTATATAAGAGTGTTCTCAAGAGAATTTTCAACGTTAAAATGTGAGATAAAAAGTTATGTGGATTAAATAATTCAAAGAAAATAGTGAATATACATTGATGATGTATATATGCATTTATCATTTTGTATTATTTAGTCAACTTTTGCTAATGTTTAATTAATATATAAAAGATAATGATTTGTAATCTCAAAGTTAAAAAATTCTAATTAATTTATATGATGGTGACTAGATGTATATATATATATATATATATGATGTCATTAATTATTCTAACGTTATAATAATATTAATTTTTACTTACATAAAATTAGCCGAACGTCTGACTCCCTATCATTATACATATCTAAATGTTCTTTGGGGTGATTTTTCAATGAACGCGTTTTTATTAATTATTAAAAACTGTTTTGTGAAATAGAAATATATCTGTTAAAAAAAAAAAGGAAATATAAAAAGTAGAAATATTCAAAAGATGATTATAAATATATAAGAAAGCATATATCTACAATAAAAAATTAATTAAATATGTAAAATCTAACCACTAATAATTAGATGAATGACACTAATATATATCACTTTTAATTAAAAATGTTGTTAACAAAATATTGGCAATCAGAATTATTTCTTTCCAAAATAGAATAGAAAGGATGGAGTTGAAAAGTCTTAAGCAACAGCTCTTTCTCTCTCTATATTATTCTTCTCTGACTAAGTAGACATTCCGTACATAAGAGTCAACGTCTGTGTCAGGCTTGTGTCAGGCTTCTCACCAAATGCAACCAGACGATTAAGAGGGGACTAATATGCATACATACATATATCTATATATATATATGTGTCCATATATAAACAAAAATAATATACTAAATGTACTTAATAATGCGTACTAAACATACAATCGCTGTCTTAAATAAACACCTGTTCATAGAAGAGCATTTTCGTCTTTGTACTTGATGTAAATCAAAGAACACAATTTCGGAGAAGGACTCTATATATCCAAGTGTATCAATACCTGAGCGAGTATGGACCTTTTTGATTAGCATCTGCGAGTATGCATTGTTTGAAATCATTCAAACAGGTTCACTACACCGAATAATAATATTTCGTACGTTATAGATACGATCAAATCCTCTCCTGTCTTTTTGTTGGTTTCATCTACTCACCTTCCTTGCTTGCGTTCTTTACACAATTGCCCTTCTTTTCAATTTTTTTTTTCTTTTACTTAAAAAAAAAAAATTATAATGTATGAGACGGAGGACAAAAAGAAAAAAGAATAATGTTAATCTCTTAAAATATTTGGATGTTGATTAACACAACAAAAATAAATAAAAAGAAAAATGACAATATTAACCATAATTCGTGTTTTAGAAAACATGATGGAGGACGCGATGAGAGTCCAACAACAATTCACTTGTTACATAAATAAATAAGATAAAACAAGTAATTACCAATTTTTACTTTTGGAAGGACAAAAAAACCACTTGCAAAATTGTAGTGATCCGTTCATCTTCCTTCTAATACCTTTTATTTTTCTCTAATTTTTAATTTTTAATTTTTAATTTTTAATTTTTAATTTTTAATTTTTAATTTTTTTTTTTTTTAATTGATGGAGAAGAGAATGTCGATAGATTTTAAGAAGCTATTGAATGATGATTAGTTTCACTAACCATTCCACAATTGTTTTCTGATACAACTATATATATATTGCAATTAGTTACAACCGACTTAAATTTGTTCTCATATCGATAAGATAAATAAGTAAGGTGATTGGTGGGAATTTTCAGACAACTATATCCAAATTCAAAGAGCATGGAATATGTTGGGGTTGTTTAGGATGATTTAGAACATATTTTAACTTAGCTTATTGTTTAGCATAAATTGATCTGAGCAATAAAATTATAAGAATAGTTATTAAAACTTAAAAATACTAGTTAATTAATAGTAGACTTGTTTTTTTAAACTATAAATATGACCTGAAATGATTGATGATATTAGAACTAGAATATAACTAGAATATAGATTTATACACACATGCTAAACCTAGTTTGAATCTAAAAGGTAGGGCGTGAATAGCTTCTGGTTAATCATCAATCATAGTCTATGACATGCCAAATTTTATTAACCAAAGAAAACATGCTAATTTTATTCTTAACCCAAACCAACAATTCATTTATCAATAATTTTTGTATTCTCTGACTTAGCAAATTTTATACAACACTTTAGCGTACGTACAGTCGTACATATATACATGTGGTGATTTATGAAAAAATTAAGAAAAAGAAGTTCAGCGCTTATTCTTTGTTGTATCTCAATTAACTTTCTTAATCCAATCTCATCACATACAAGTACATATCACATGTATTTATCTCCAAATCAGATTCACTTATTTATTTTAAAATCAGATTCATTTAAGTAGTTTCCTCTATAACTAATTCTCCAGACATTTAACTTCAATGTTACAATTAGACAGACATCAACTTCAACGTTACATTTAGAATTGAAGAAATAAGAATCAGTGTTGAAAATCCTTCTATTATGACCACTAATTATAATCCCTTCTGCAAAAGGGACACATTATCAAAGAATGGGTTGAAATTTAATTTGAAGCATCCATAGTTTGAAAGAATATTTATACTTGTGCATAGTTGTACAAATTTTTATTTTAAAAATATCTAAGATTTTTTAAGAATAATTCTAGAATAATAAAAAAATAATATTCTAATTATTATAATGTCAACACTATTGCATTTTTTAACCATCCAGAATTTTACTTTTCTAAGAATAATTCTAGAATTTTTATCTAAAATAATCTAATTGTTATAATGTAGAGACTCGTGCATTTTTTAACTATCCATTGTAAAGACGAACGGTATGAACTTATATATTTTGCTCTTTCATAAAATAACAAATAGATAGAAATAATAAAAAGGAAATTTAGGGAGTATTTTAATATGTTGGAAACAAAAAATAATTGTAATGTCACTCCCTTCCCAATGAAGCTTATTATTTCCTTCACTTTCACAGTAATAGAAATGCGTTAAAAAAAAAAAAAAAAAAAAAAAATTTATTGTGTTTTAATTTAAACAATTCTTTATTGTCTTATTAAAAAATTTATAACAAAAAATGAGGTGAATATTATCCTCGTACCATATATTAAGTAAATTAGGGAATAACAATAGTTTTGAAAATTTAAAAAAGAAAAAGAAAAAAAGAAATGTAAAGGATATTGCTTGTGGTATAACTTATTTAACAATGTCATATCTTCTAAAATAACTTCTAAATTGATCTCAATCAGATTATTCACAATCACACAAAGTTGATCTAACGAAGATAATTTATTAAACTTGTTTTTAGTAATAGTAATGATTGATTTTGATGACTTAAATAAGCATCTCAAAGTTACACACTAGAATGCAGAGACCGTATAGTTTCCAAAAGCAGGAAAACCGTTCACAAGACACGGAATACAAAAATCTCCCCATTTATGGTATAAAGTTCTATTCCATTCCAAGTGGCTTTTCTGCAATTTACAGCATCCCCATTGGCTAAAACAGTAATTGAACCCTGCACAAACGCTAAAAACACCTCTCTGAGCAAAGTAGCCTCATTAACTCAGTCTCTCTGAGTCTCATCTCAGCTCACCCTATAGAGAGAGAGAAACAGGCCTTGTGAGTACCGAGTATTCTAGAGAGAGAAATTATTGTATACACACACCATTCTAGAGATACTGAGAGACAGCATAACAAGTGTGTGGCCTCTGAAACGGAGAAGACCAGTTCTCTGAATTCCACACTGTCATAAGGTGAGTACTCTCTCTCACACACTTCGTAGTGTCCCCAAAAGCCATTCAAAACCAACCCATGATTCTAAATTAAAGCAACACAAAAAGTAAGCCAAGTCTTTGCAGCCTTTCTTTGCTCTGTGATCTCCCCCCTGAAAGCTGACAGATTTTGCCTTCTCTCTCCCTTCTCTTTCTCTCTCTGAATGTGTATAGAGATATGCATATTTTATGTGCGGTTATATATAACTGTGTGTTTTTGCTATCTGTATACAGATCAAAGGGTGCTTAAAAAGGCTAGCTAGTGAAGTGGGTTAGTTATATTAGAGTGTGTGACTGTGTGAACAAGTTGAGGCAATGTTGGACTACGAATGGGGCAACCCATCACAGATCATGCTCACCGGCGACGAAACCAACCAAGATTCCGATCAGAGCCGTCAGCTTTTCGATCACTACCACCAAGCATTCAACGAAACCATAGTGAATCCAAGTGGGTTTGGGCAAAACCCACACCATGACTTTCATCATCAACACGCACATACCCACCAAGCCCAGACCCATTTGCACTCTTTTTATGACCCACGCGCTTACGGCGCGTCGTTCTCAACTCCCGGTCCGGCGATGTTGTCGCTGGAGTCGATGGGCGGGGCAACCTCCGGTCCGGGTGGGTTCATGGTGGTGCCCAAGAGTGAACCGGGCGGGGGAGGGGTCGATTTCACGGCGAGAATTGGGCTGAATTTGGGTGGCCGGACGTATTTCTCGTCGTCGGAGGACGACTTCGTGAATCGGCTGTACCGCCGGTCCAGGCCTTTGGATCCCGGTTCGGTCAACTCTCCAAGGTGTCAAGCTGAGGGCTGCAATGCCGATCTGACCCACGCCAAGCACTACCACCGCCGCCACAAGGTCTGCGAGTTTCACTCCAAGGCCGCCACCGTCATCGCCGCTGGGTTAACTCAACGATTCTGTCAACAATGTAGCAGGTAATATATATAATTTTTACCATAACGCCCTTCTCATGCACTCGTATTTTTCAACCCAACATCAAACCAGTCCATATCCGGAGTCCATCGCCGGAGACTCCGATGGACTTGTGGAATACTTAAATGACGGAAATGCCCTTGCTTGTCATGTTTCACTAATGATTGGTTGCGCCGTACACGGGGTGATCCCGAGGGCATTTGCGTCCGTAAACAAATATAAGTTGCCATTTTTACGTACTCTTTTGCTTTTGCTTCTTATAGTAGCTGTTAAGTAGGATTTGCTTTTCTTAAAACAATGAAAACATTTAATACACTTGTATTTTTTATACAATACTATGTTAATAACCTCAGTTTCTGTTTTTCTAAAGATAATGTTATTTTTTTCTATTAAAAAAAAAAACACAAACACACACAACCAAACAGGTTCCATCTTCTTTCTGAATTTGATAATGGCAAAAGAAGCTGCCGGAAAAGATTGGCCGATCACAACCGGCGCAGGCGAAAATCTCAGCAACCTAACCAAGAGCGCAAGCCTCAGCTCGAAAATGCTCATAATTCAACCACATCCCAAAACCATGCAAGTAAGCCTTACATATATATACTATGTCGAATTTTTATTAATTTCTTTTATTTTCGAAAGTTCAAGCAAACAATAACAAAATAAAAAAAAAGTTCAAGCAAACACACATTTACCGTCTATTTTGTTCCCACCACCGGAGCTAGAAAACTCTAACGAGCTTAATTTTGCATGAATGTAATATATGCATTAAATAAGTTGAATTTGAATTGGGTATTGGTTTTATGGGTTTTTCTAGGGTCTCCAATGGACACAGGAGCTCAGTCTTCCTCGGTGACGGTGGCAATCTCACCGCCTCGGATATCACTGGACTGTTTCCGGCAAAGGCCGTTTCAAGCTGCCACCACCTCTTCGGCATCAACAAGTTCACTGTTTTTCACAAATGGGTAACGTTTGGGGAGTGTGAAAATGGAAAATTTCCATTGCTAAAATGCTTGGATGATGAGGAGTATCAATGACATACTGAAGATCAAGATCAACCAATACGTACAACAGTTGTTGAACTTCTAGTTAATTTTCCATTTTCCTTGAATTTAAGTCTTTGCACAAAAGATGGGTGTTATAGAGACATCAAATGTAGTATTAAGTACCTATTTTAATTTGTTAATTTCCAAGAAAATGTTTCAAGCCTCTTAGTTTAATTAATGACTAAAAATGTGATTTGGGGAAATTAATTGAGTATATATAGTGGGAATTTTCTTTTTATTGTATATATATTTTTTAATTTCATGGAGTTTGGTTAGTGCTGGCAGGCACGCACGGGAGTTCAGTTAGTTTTGGCAGACACGGTGATGCACGTCTATTCATTTTTTCTATTCCAGGCGATTGCATTATTTTCTTTCTGTTTGGTCCCATGAGATTTTCCCGGAAAATGCAGTGAACGCGGTAAAAAAGAAAAGTGAGCACGAATGAGTGTTATTTATTTTCTTTGCCCGAAAATGCTGGTTGTAGAAAGAACACTTTCAAGATAGTCAAGCTGTCTCCTGCATGGAGTCTATTTTTGATCAAGCTATAATGGTAGTGTGGGTCCCACGTGAGGGAGAGATCGAATGGTCCAAAATTCTCTCTCTATATATATCTACCTATTATTTTGATTATATATATTTGTATGGCTGTTAAGGTGGGGCCTTCCAAAGAAAAAAGCTTGCGATTGTTGAATTTTAATTGCGAAGTACTAACAGAGACGAGGTCAGCTTGGTTGGGGGTGTATGACTCTATATTGACCTCTAGATCTGCATACACATATATATAATATATATATATATATATATATATATATATATGGTGAAATGCTTTTATTCAAAAATAAGACACACATGAAATGTGTATTAAAATGATGTTTTTTTGTTATTTCTTGTTGGGTTTTTTTGTTGGTGCACCAAATCAAATGACAATTTCATCACAGGAGGAGATCCTAGTCCGACATGCGTTGTCTTAAAAATATTTGAATTCCATAACAAGTAATATTACATACTTGAATCGGTTTTTTAAACTTATGTAACAATTAATAAGATGGTCTCCCTCTATCAATTATTGTTACAATTACGGTCGATGGACAAATTTTGAAAAAAGTATATTATCAAAGGGCTATTAAAATGATAAATGCATCTTCTTTTATCAATTAAAAAAGAGAAAAGTACAACAATTTAACAATTAGAACATGGATCCCATTTCAATACCTTTCTACTCATGAAATTTAATAGCTAAAAATAAAATAAAACTTTGGTCGTTGTAATTTTGTCAACTTCTAAATTTAGGGTTAGAGAATCACCGATGTGAACCATGCTAATTTCTTTTCCGCCGAACACAAAAAGTAAAATGATTATGATGGCATGCCAATGCACATCAAGTGAAAGTTCCTGGATAGTTCTAATTCAAATTTGACAGTGATAGTTGTGGTAATAGTAATACCAACAAATCAGGATAAGTCTAATTCAATTTTGACGGTACGTGATGGTTATTGTAATAGTGTAATACCAACAATATTTTATATATATATATATATATATATATTTGTCTGTTCCTGCATTAGCAATTTTAACCATGGTTCGCTGGTACACATAGTATTGACTAATGCATGATTTTTTTTAAGTTTCGATATGCTATCTAAATCCGTTACATAATGATCGCGGCCAATATGATAACTGTAATCGATTATGCGAATCATAATTTTACTTACGTTAGTGTATTTGATAATGACCTTAGCACATCCACATAGGTTCAAATTCGGAAACAATATCTTGATACATTTATCCGTTTGTTTTGACGTAAAATATTTTTTTCATAAATTATTTTTATTTTTTAGGTAAAATATTTTTATTTTTTGTATTTTTCAATGTTTGGCAAAGGTTTAAGTGGAAGTTGAGGTTGAAGTCGAGTTCTTTGGACAGAACGTATAAAATTACTTACCAAAAATTGATGGATAAATTATTTTTCCTTCGTAAATATTTTATAGCAATCAAATTAGTACACTTGGCCCCCTTAACATATGGAAGGAAAAGAAAAACTAGGGCACCCGCCGCACACAGACTCTCTCAGTCTCTCTCCTTCCCCTTGTACCTGTTCCAGCAGAATGGCCACACCAATTCCTCTCCCTCATAATCCTCTTGTATCTGTTGTTGTTGGGGTTGTCATTGCAAGTGGGGTATGTTTATTTTTTATTTATTTTTTTCCCTTTGGATCATGGAATTTTTAGAATTTTTTTTGACTAATTTTTAATTTAATTTTGCTGGTGTGGTAATTGAATCTAATCAGTTCTATGTATTTTTTAATAATAATTTGTTAGTGGTTAATTATGTATAAGTTGGTTTTAATGTTAATCCATATAATTTTAGGGAGTGGTCATTTGAAAAACAACAATCATATATGTTATGTGTTAATTCCACATAAGTTATGTATGAATATATGATGATTTATGCATTGTTTTATAGGTTGTAATCTTATTTTTTTAGTGTGTGTGGGGTTTATATTTTTTAATTTAATTGATTCAAAGTAGAGGTGAGGTCCGTGAGGACTCTTCAATTACTTACCAAAAAGGAGAAAAGACCTCTTCAATTATAAAGTTCTATTATTCTATTTTCAAAGAAATTTATGTTTAGAAATCTGTTATATGTTGCTTCATAAAATAAGTGATTTTGGACTGGAAATATAATTTTGACCTGGATACATATCCAGACTACCTATCAGATATTCACATATGGCAACATCAAAACAAAGCATACTGATGCATATATTGCAGTGCTTTATTGTCCTATGATGTACGTACATTGTGCCCAACATGGCAAAATTTGAATTTTCTTGTAATTTGGCTTCTGGAAGAATATCTGCAAATAGGAGTTTTATGGTAGAAATATAGATTATTAAGCAAAATGTCTGGTTAGTGTTCTTTTGCAGTACTTAAGCAAAATGTCAAGTTAGTGTTCTTAAGCAAAATCATTTTTTAAAAAAATATTTTCAATATTTTTCAAAAATAGATTTCATCTTTTGCTAGTTGTAAGTGATTTTAGGACTTTTTACTTTAACAGTCACGACTGCCACCTGGTTTTTTTTCTCCTCTCTTTTAATTCAGGATGTCAAAGTAAGACTCAAATACTTAAAGAAGTGTTGTCGATGTCGAAACTTGGAAAACAAATTCTAAGCTCACGGACTTGACTGTCACAGTACACTAATTTCATCTAATTACGTTGTCGTTATCTTATGCACATTGTACATGCACAAAATTTCAAGATATATTAAAGTGTTTAGACAATGCACAAGCGTATAATTTATTATTTATTTGTCATATTTGACTAGATATAGGCCAATTATTATTTTGTAAACAAATTGGCCAAATTTTGGCTAGATATATTTTTATATGTTTCTTATGGATCATGAAGTACTTTTGATTTAAAATATTATTATATTATATTAATAAAACTGTTAATACTATGTCCCTTTACATTGAATCCTAGCTCCACCCTTGTATATAAAGTCGTCCTTTTTGTCCCAACGAGGGATGACTATAAAAGGTTATACACACACACGTAGAAATCTTATATTTGTGATTAATATTAATATTCAATTGACAAAACAACATGATTGTTGCCTTTAATGTACGCATAAAGATGCTAACGCTGTTTTGTTGCGTTAAGAGTGGGGAGAGAACGTAGGGTTTCTTTTATTTGATTCGGAAGCCTCCTTGAACCTTCCACGAAGTTCAAAGGTGGACCCTTGTGCTCTTTCCCTCTTTTTTCATCTTATTTCCGTTACTATTGTCTTTTATGAAGAAAGAAAACATTGTTGTAATTTGTTTGTTTGGTTCCAAGGAAAATACAAGAAATTTAAGCTAGGAAAAGTTGAACTTCATCTGTGGTGTTACATTATCAATAAAGAGTTTGTCTTTTTGACAATGCAGATATATCTAACAATATAGGTCAAGCAATTACAAAACAATTCTCTCGAATTTAGGGGGGTTTTTTTTTTTTTTTTTTTTTTTTTTTTTTTTTTTGATAACCAAATCAATCCTAAAAATTAACCCAGAGGGAGCTGTGATCCTGACGTTGTACCATGTGGGCGTCCTCCGATATAGTACTACATGCTTGTGTGGGGGGTTCTCACTTGCAAATACTAGGATTTATCTAGTCGGATGTATAATTCGGGTAGCACGACAAGTTTTACTATATCTGAAAATATGGTACCCTGAGTTTCTCATCTAATGAATCATTCATCAAGTGTGCTCATCACTACATCCAACGACCAAAAATATCCTAAAATATTGTAGAGCTTTATAGCAGACGGCATAAGATCCCCACTTTCTTAGCAGTGATCAATAGTTTTTGTCCACACCTAAATTTGTGGAGTTAATCCACCATGAATGACATTTTATGGCTCCTTATAGACCCAACATGTTTAGCATGGGGTCACTTCCCTGGCACATACTTGATTGTGGCTTTAATAATCATTTTGAATATAGTACAATCAATTATCATTTTGATTAGATATATAACGTACACTTTTTGTGCTCCTGTTTTGGTCACTTGTGCTAGCTTTAAGATGTGATCAAGCATGCAACCATCCAAATATTTATGAACAATATGGCAATAATTTGCTAATCATGTGATAAAAATTATTTATTTTGTTTGTTTATTTTTGGTTATTTACATTCTTCATGTAGCGAATCTATAGCAAATTTGCTGGTACTTATCAACAGGTCTGTGGCCTAACGGTACAAGACTCCTACTTTTCAAAGAGAGATTAGGGATTCAAATCTCAGTGGAAGCAATGTGTATAAGTCTCAACTAAAAAAAAAAAAAAAAAAATTGCTGGTAATTAAATGCATGTGTATCTGTGTACTAAGTAAGCTAGGTTGAGTATAGTTTGATATTTTATTTTTTAAAAGAATTCTTGGGAAAAAAAAAAAAAAAAATTCTTATTTTTCTATTTGTTTTGAAACCTTAACCACTTGTAAAGTTGCGAGTTAAGATCCAAAATCAATTAGTAGAATAGTCCAAATTTAGACATCTAGATGGTGAACAACTTAGCTGAGTGCCTATATGGAACAAGTAGTCATGGTTCTAGCACCTATGCATTAAATTTAGTTATTATTATTATTATTATTTAAGTTTTGTAGTCTTGGAGAATTTACTATCTTATTATATAAAGAAAAAAATGTATTTAAATAAAAAAGTAAAAAAAAATATGAGGTGTTGGCTGGGGTTTGACCCTTTAGCCC